ATATCCATATATATTTACAATTGTCAATCATCATCTTTTCTGGCGCTTTTTTTATAAGTGATCATTATGACCTTCAGGGACTGTTATTTGGTGCCTGATCAAATCCAATTTCCTTCCGAATTTTGTCTTACACTTGTCACATGCGTAATCTTTCCGACCCTCGTGTGTTACTTTTTGGTGGGTGAGCAAATGAAATTTATGTCAGAATTTTTTTTTGCGCTTATTAAATGTGTAACTTGGCTACCTCCGTGAACTAGCTTTTGACACAGTTGTCACATGTGTAATTTTTTCGACCTTCATGGACTGTTCTTTGGTGAACGAACAAATTACATTTTTGTCCAAATTTCTTCTCGCACTTGTCACATGCGAAATCTTTGCGAAGTTCGTGTACCGCGCTTTGATGGGTGAGTAAATGCGATTTTCGTTTAAATTTCTTCTCGCACTCATCACATGAGTAATCTTTGCGACCCTCGTGGACTGCCTTTTGGTGAAAAATCAAATTAAATTTTAGTCCAAATTTCTTCTCACAAATGTCACATGCGAAATCTTTGCGACCCTCGTGGACTATTCTTTGGTGTCTGAGCAATTTCGACTTACTTCCAAACTTTTTCTCACACTTGTCACACGCGTCATCTTTTCGACCTTCGTGTACTATCTTTTGGTGCTGCATCAAATCTGATTTTTGTCCGAATCTCTGCTCACATTTGTCGCATGCAAAATCTCGGCGACCCTCGTGGACTATCTTCTGATGGCTGAGCAGATGTGGTTTTTGTCCAAATTTCTTCTCGCATCTATCGCACGCGAAATCCTTGCGGCGCTCGTGAACTGTCTTTATGTGTACGGTCAAACTCCTTTTTTCTGTAAATTTCTTCTCGCACCTGTCACAAGCAAAATCTTTGCGACCTTCATGAATTGCCCTTTGGTGTTGGACCAAATGATGTTTTTGTCCAAATACTTTTTCACACTTGTCACATGCATAATCTTTACGACCATCGTGTATTGCCCTTTGGTGTTTGAGCAAATGTTGTTTCTGTCCAAATACTCTTCCGCACTTGTCACATGAAAAATCTTTGTGACCGTCGTGTATTATCTTTTGATGCCTGATCAAATCGAATTTTCTTCCGAATTTTTTCTCACAATTTTCACATGCGTGATCTTGGCGACCCTCATGGAGTGTTGTCGTGTGCAAAAGCAAACTCGATTTATTATCAATTTTTTTTCTGCAATAGTCATCTTTGAAGACTCTTAAGGCAAAATCTTTTTTTTCAAAAAGCAAATTCGACTTTTTTCTAATTTTGTCCTTACTGTTGTCGCATGCAGAATCTTTGCGACCATCGTGTACTGTCTTTATGTGTTTGAGTAAACTATGTTTATTTCCGAATCTCTTCGCACACTTTTCACACAAGTAATCTTTGAAAACTTCGTGGAATATTTTGTTGTGTTTAAGTAAAGTTGATTTATTTTCAAATTTTCTCTCACACTTGTCACATGTGAAATTTTCTCGATCTTTGTGTACTAATTTTTGGTGCGTAGAAAAACTCGATTTTTTCACAAATGTCTTCTCGCACTGATCGCATTCATAATCTTTGCGGCTTTTGTGTTCTGATATTTGGTGCCTACTCAAATGACTTCGAAACTCAAATTTCTTTCCGCACTTGTCACAAGCGAAATTTTTCTTTTCGTTGTGAATTGTGTCTTGGTGTGTTACCAAGCTTGATTCTAGAGTAAATGTCTTTTGACAAATATCACATATATACTTTTTGTCTTCCGAAACAACAATGTCGAGTTCACTAAAGTTATTAATCGAGAGAACTCCATCGTATTTCTTCTCACTTTTATCCATTTCGGTGCTTTTAATAAACGATGAATCAGTTTGTTTATTGTTACGAAAATTGAATGAGTAAAATGTATCTTTTAGTACTATTATAGCTTGTTTAATCAAGAAAGACAACATTCAAACTAAATTATTTTTACTATAATCATGATCGCAGGGTGTCGAGAAGCGATATCCAAATCGTTTATGATCGAATTGTTTACAATGAAGGTACTAGTTTATCTGTCTGTACATTATCCATACAATATTTAAAGAATAAAAATTTGAACTTGACGAAGATTCCTTTGAAGAAGTTGTTGACCAGATAAAAAATAAGTAGTTTCAAAAAAATTCTTAACAGATAACATCGATTTCATACAAAAAACATCGAGTAATAGTATGTTTTTCCCCTAGGAAGTGAAAAACTGAAAAGTCTCAGAGAACGTGAAATTCATTTTGTTTTCACGAGTTAATTTTCTTGGTATAACAAGCTATTCAATTTCCTTACTGCTGTAAACATGTGCACATTGCATTTGGTAAAGCTATACCCACCTCGAGCCGCTGCAAATGATAGGTAAAATTTTATGAGATTTATGGACTGTCACTGCAATTATTCTCGCCTTCACTCGTTGAATAATAAACTATTTTATTCTTGTTAAAAAGTTAACACAAGGTGAAAAAATGTTGATTATTTTTGGGCACGTTCACATGGGGACTGCAGACTAAACTTCATGATGACAATAAGAATATTTTGATTATTTTTTTATGTCTAGTGTTATTCAATGTTATATATTTTCTATGTCATCGAAATAAATAAAATTAAAAAAAAATTTATTCATCAATTTGCTCGAATTTGAATTTTTTGTGACTTGAGGGGAGGCTCTCATCTAGCGCCTCAAAAATTAAGTGTTTTTCGTAATTTTTTTTTTCACATAAGGTAGTGAATAATGCGGTCAAGTTTTTTGATATTTATATTGAACTATATTTAAAAATTTTTTAAGACCAAAATATCGAATTATGTATCCGCTAGAAGCATTTAAGAAGGTCGTGTTGAAAAAAGATACCTCAAAGGGCGCAAAGCTAGCACCTCGAGTTTTTCTCCGAATCTAAAAATCTGAAGTTCCTCTTAAGCTAGATGAAATTTGCTGGAGCTTTAACCTAAATAATTGCAAAAAAATTAAAAATTAATGAAATGGTGGAATTCGGAAATTTTTTTTTTCCCTTTTTTGGCTCATTTGAGGGCTCTAAAAAAAATAATAATAAAAAATTCGATCTCAGCGTAACAAAAAAATTAAGGTTTTTTCATGCCTATGCGATCGCTCTCCAGATTTGGGTACTTGCTGCGCTTCACAGCTTGTCAATCTCATATGAGATTGAAAAGAGAAAGTTTCCTAGTCATGCTTAAGCAACTGGCATTTATGTACTTCTGTAAAGCATAGAAAATATTCAAACATCTCACTCGATCAAAAACTTGAACATAATCGAATCTCTTAGTTAGCTCCGAAAAAAAAAACATATTTGTTGAAAAGTAAGCGAGAGAATGACCCATGAAATTTGATCGTGGCGTAACAAAAGAATGAGGTTTTTTCATGCCTATGCGATGTCTCTCCAGATTTTGGTACTTGCTGCGCTTTCCAGCTTGTCAATCTCATATGAGATTGAAAAGAGAAAGTTTCCTAGTCATGCTTGAGCAACTCGAATTTATGTACTTCTGTAAAGCATAGAAAATATTCAAACATCTCACTCGATCGAAAACTTGAACATAATCGAATCTCTTAGTTAGCTCCGAGAAAAAAAACATATTTCTTGAAAANCAAAAACTTGTACATAATCGAATCTCTTAGTTAGCTCCGAAAAAAAACATATTTCTTGAAAAGTGAGCGAGAGAATGACCCATGAAATTTGATCGTGGCGTAACAAAAAAATGAGGTTTTTTCATGCCTAACCACGAGCGTACGCGAGTGCGATACGAACGCAGCGGTGCCAGAATGTGCGACTTATGCCACCGAAAAGCGTGCCATAAATGTGAACTTATGCCACACAGTGCTATAATAGTACATTATGAAACAGTTGCATAAGCAGCAGATTATGGCACGGCAGAGTGAAGCGCCCGAGCGCAGCGAGGTTGCTTCTGCCGTGCTCATAATGTGCTACTTATGACACGTGTACAATATACTTTTTTATAGCACTGTGCTAAGTTCACATTTATGCCCCCTTTTCCGAGTTATAAGTCGCACATTCTGGTACCGCGGAGTGAGGTTAGCGCACGAGCGCAGCGAGTGCGATAGGCGCGACGCGGTGCCAGAATGTGCGACTTATACCACCGAAAAGCGTGCCTTAAATGTGAACTTAAGACACGCAGTGCTATAAAAAATTTTTTGTGATGTTAAAAAGTGCGACTGATCGGGATACGATTGCGCGTCTTCAAGAGTCAAAAGCAGGAATCGTAGCCACTGGGGGCTACGAAGTCGGTTGTTCACGATCTTACTGTTAGTGAATAAATGTTTCGGCCTAGTGTTGATGTTTAAACAATTGCTCACGGGTATCAGCTGCTGCGCGTGGGCGACTCAAGCTCCGGCCATTAGAAAGAGACAAACGATCGCCTTACGTCTTCTGTCTCTCTCACTCCGAGCATCACGCCGTTGTATGCTCAACCGCAGTCTGTACTTTCTATGTCTATGCGCGCGAATCGCGTTCGGAACTTACTATTTATGAATCTTAACTTAAAAATATAAATAAAAGAAATGACACGCGCGGAGCGCGTTTTAAATGTCTAGTTGTATTTGTTATTCAATAGCTATATGATGTATGATTTCAATTCGAGAATTGTGAATTAATCAATGAAAAAATCCTAATTCATTTTTTTATTCATTCATTACATTTTATTGATATTAACAATGTACAGAAAATTACACGAGGAGTTGAGATAATCTATAACAATTATTACAATTTTGTTTTTATTTACATGGATAGTTGTTATATTCACTGTCTAACAAAGAGACCTTGGAGATTTATACGAGTTAAATTACTGTTATTGTTGGTAAACTTATGAATTGATATTATTATAAGGTTTTGATTTCAAGAAATTCGTTACAATTTTACAATTATTTACAATTTTTCGATACCGTTTATAATTTTTCGTTATCTACATAGTTACGATAACAAAAAAGTCGCCGCGAGCTATCGCCTATGCAAGAATGCATGCCAAGCAAATATTATGTAAATCCTCGTTCTTTAGCTTCGCAATGATCATTTCACAGCAGAGAACCGGTAGCTGGCAGTGTTTCAGTTCGTAAAAAGCATCCAGTGCCCATGGCCAGAAAAATCCTCTAGACAGTTTTTCGCACAGATGCCGAACGCAAAGCTCCCTGTGGCCTTCGGGAAGGTCCGACAATTTGTTCGAACGCGCCAACTCGATATAGTTCTCGGGTTTCAGTTGTTTTGCCGCCTCTTCCGGTCTCAATCGGATAAGGTCGTGAAGCGATAGACTAGGATTCACCATTATCTCTTTCGATTTGCTCACAAATTCTTCGTCGTCGTACCAATATTCGTCGAGATCCACAGACTTCTCGAACAATCCGTGATCGGCGAACAAACTCATGATATTCAGAACGTCGCTGCGGTCAAATTCGTATCCTCTTTTCTCGAGACGCTCAACGACGGCCACAATTTTCGACGCCAGTGATAATTTTTCGTCCATCGCACGTACCCATCGAAATCTCTCGACGAAAAAGCTCTTGCTGGGAAAAACGAAGTTGGACAGATCAGCGCCCCGATCCAGGAGTACATCGACCTTATCTAGGGAAAGATTCGCCACGGCCCATTGCAAAGGCGTTCGTCCCTTCTTGTCTTGGACATCGACCCGCACCGGCCGATCGGCCTCTTTGCTGGCGTCGAAAAACAGCTCGAGCAATTCATCGTCGTCGTAACGATCCTTGCTGATGACGTGCAACGGCGAGAATCCGTTCTTGTCCGTCAAGTTGGGATCGGCGCCTAATTTCAGCAGATACTCGACCACCCTACAGTTTCTTTCGGCCAGGGCCAGGTGTAGCGGCGTCCGGCCCAACTTGTCCCGGGCGTCGACCTCGACCGGCTTATTTTCTTCGTTGCTGATCTCGACCAACATCTTCACGCGGTCCTCGTCGTCAGCGTACTTGCAAATTGTGTGCAGAGGAGTCCATCCGTCGCAGTCGACTAAATTAGTAGCGGCGCCCTTTCTCAGAAGCAATTCTACCACCGCCCTGAGCTCTTTTTTGACCAGCGCGTGATGCAGTGGTGTAAAGTCGCTCGTGTCCCGAGCATCGATCTGCACCCATCGATTATTTTCCTCGCTGATTTCAAACAACATCTTCGCCCAGCCGCTATCGTCGGCGACTATGCAAATCGTGTGCAGAGCCGTCCATCCATCGTTATCGGCCAGATTCGGATTGGCGTCTCTTCTGAGCAGTAATTCAAATACCTTCTTGTGTCCGTGTCTTATAGCATGGTGGAGCGGCGTTTCACCCTGCTTGTTCCTGGCGTCGACCTTGACTGCTCGATTCAGCTCGTCGCTGATCTCGAAAAACGTCCCCAACAAGTCGGCATGGTCCTTAATTTCCAGCGCTGATCGAGTGCAACGGTGTCGATCTCCACGCGTTGGCTACATTTATATCCGCTCCTCTTCTCAGCAGCCATTTGGCTATTTGTTCGTGGCCGCAATCCAAAGCAAAGTGCAACGGTGTGTTGTCGTCGCTGTCTCGGGCGTCGATCTGGATCGGCGTATTGAATTTGTCACCTATCTCGAATAACATCTTCACCAAGTCAACGTCGTCGTCTTCTCTCAGACACACGACGTGCAGAGGAGTGAAACCGTTCTCGGCAGCCCAATTTGGATCGGCCTGTCTTCTCAACAGCAGTTCGTTCAGTTTTTTGCATCCGTGGGACAGAGCCAAGTGTAGCGGCGTCGATCTCCACGGGCTGATTCAATTCGTCGGTGATCTCGAAAAATCTCTTCGCCAAGCCATCGTCGCTGTTTTTTCTCTCGCATATTGCGTGCAAAGGAGTAAGTTCGTTATTATCAGCTAGATTCGGACTAGCACCTCTTCTTAGCAAACATTCTACCAAATTGATGTTTCCTTGGTATATTGCCACGAGTAATGGTGTCCAACCCTCATTGTCCCGTGCGTCGACCTGGACCGTCTGATGTTTCTCGTCGCAGACCTCAAATAACATCTTTGCCATGTTTTCGTCGTTCCAGTCGCTCTTGCAAATAATATGCAAACAAGTCTCTCCGTCGTCGTTGACTAAATGAGGGTCGGCACCCCTTCTCAGCAACTGTTCGACTGCATTTATGTTGCCACTCTTCATAGCCAAGATCAATGGTGTGTCGCCCTGTACGTTTTTAACGTTGACCTGGATCGTGTTACCGAGTTCGTCGTTGATGGCGAAAAATTTCTCCAAGAACTCGTACTCGCCGTCGTCCTCGCCGTCGTCCTCGCCGTCGTCGTCGTCGTCGTCGTCGTCGTCGTCGTCGTCGTCGCATACGAAGTGTACCGCAGTATCTCCGTGTTTGTTGCACAAATTCGGATTCACGCCGTGTCTCAACAGCAGTTCCATCAGTTTCTTGTTTCTGCCCCTCAGAGCATAATGTAACGGTAAAAGGCCATCATGGTCTATGGCGTTGACCTGCAACGTCAGATATTTCTCCTCGACAATCTCGAAAAATGTCTCAAGGAAGGCATCATTGTGATTTCTCTTGCCAAGCATGTGCACAGGAGTTACTCCGTCCGCACTGGCTCGAAGCAGATCGGCGCCTCTTCTCAGCAGCGATTCGGCTACTGTCCCGTGGCCGTTGAGTAGAGCCAAGTAAAGCGGCGGGTATCTCGCTGCCGTGCCTCGAGAGAGGCCGTTGGGATCTTGCCCGAGTTCGAGGAATTTTTCGACGACGGTGTCGAGACCATACAAGCAGGCCACTTGAAAATGTGTTAATCCATCTTCGTCTATGTAAGCTACGTCGAATTTGTCGTAGATTTTAAAGAGATCAGAGATTATGACGTAATTGGTAACGTGCTTAGCCGCGTGATGCACCGGCGTGGTGCGACGCAACAGTGGCTTGCCGTCTTTATCTGCGTAGGGGTCGTCTTTGTAGGCGCTGCGAGCCACAAAATCTATGAATCGTTTCCCCGGTGTCTCGATGTCATGTTCGTCTATGTCTATGACGGACTCTATCAAAAGCCAAAAAATCGCTTCTTTTTGGAAGAAGTCTAGAAGATTTGGAAGTTGACCTTTCCAATTTTTGACGACGGTATCGAGTTGATAAAGAAATTCACGTCGATCCTCTTGAATCTCCCACGTCACATCTTTCGACAAGTATCCGTACATTTCTAATTGTTTTTTATTGTTAAAGCTCACACTGGATTCGCTTTCGGACATGTTTATACGCACTCACGAACACCAAAAAGAAACACTAAACAAATTTCAATTTTTTCTCACTAATTTAACAGCACGTGTTGATGAGACCTCTTTTAGGTTGTGAATTCGTAACGTGATCTGAACGACTCGACATGTGGAGTTGAACTGCTTAGCTGCTATTAGATATTGGAGCTTGATGCCTTCTTAAGAATGAAAGTGAAAGTTAGGCAGTTAGAATGTGGGCACTGAGCATCGCTCACTACTTACTGCGCGGCCGTAGTTCGACTCAAGTCCCAGCCAGCGGTTGAGCCAGGCAAGGGTGCCGGCGATTCTCACTTAAGGAGGCTCTTTCGCTGCTATGTTTTTTACATTAAACGCGCGGAGCGCTAATGCATGGTGCAGCGCGCAACGTACTCTGCAGGTGCTATGCCACTAGTCGCGAGCAGAGTAGCAGACTTGTCGTCAGCTTTTTATTTACATGAACGGCTCACGTGTAGCTACGATAAAATTCGATATTTGCGAATATTTTTAATATAATTATATTGATAATTATGAACGATCATTTTATATTGTTATATGTCATTTTATATTGTTTACAATTTTTTTAAACTATAAGAATTTTTTTATTATATAATTGTTAAATATTTATTGACAAATTTATTCAAAGAATGTTAGTGTTAATATTTTTTTAATAAAAGACTTTTTTTACAGAATTTATACTATTTTTTTTTAAGCGCATTTGAATTTCGCGCGCTGTCGTCTCGTTTGCGAGCGACTGTTCGACGATTTTGGGTGATTTTCAATGAAAAAAAAAACGGAAAAGTACAATTTCATCACTGAAAATAATTTCTCAGGCAAAAACCGATACAGCCATTCCATCCAGGGAAAGCTCTCGCAATTCTTTTGGATTCACGCGAGGCGTATCGTAAAAAATTGTGCGACAAATCGTAAAGTCAGCGATGTCGTAACGACGATTATGAATAATTAATTTGACTTTTTATGCAAGATTCGCCTTCTGCGAAAATCTTTATTTTATAATTTGTATGTTTAACAAAACCGTATTGATAAAAATTATAGATATAGATTGATTCAAATAAAACATAATGTTTTTTTGGTAATAAAAACCCCAGCGGAAAGTTTTTGTTTAAATAAAGTGCATAATAATGTTGTGAACTGTAATAAAAAGTAAAAAAGTGTAAAAAAATGTAATATTACTAACGATTTCGGACATGTGATACGTTTTTCTACCCTTTTTTACTTTTTATTACAGTTTATTACATTTGTTTACCTATAATTAAAGAGATAAAAACCTTATGAAATTAAGCTCATTAAAGTTACATGTAAAAAGTAAAAAAGTGTAAAAAAACATAAAAATTCTGTAATAATAATTTTAAATGTTAAAATTTTTACTTGTGAGCTTAAAATCCTGGTCAAGCGCGCATTTTTTTCACGAAAATCACTTGCTGCGGTCGATGCGATCACACGCGGATAGCATATTGAAGAAAATGTAAAAAAGTGTAAAAAAATGTGATTTTATGCTGCCTTATTTAATGCATTGGCTGTCCGAAATCGCTAGTAATTTTACATTGTTTTAAAATTTTATTACATTTTACAATTTAATATGATGGTTATAGTTACTGCTTTTACTTTTTCTTGAAAGATTTTTTTTCCGTCGGGGAAGTTTATTAATTTATTTAAATTTGATCGTTTCTTAAGCAGTCAGATGAAAAACATAGAAGTGATCCAAAATATAATAGTAATTGTTTTTTACAAAATTTTCAAGTACATTTTATACATTTATTAGGTGTTAATGCGTGAGTGATGCGCTATGTCGATGACAGTTTTACGGCTACTCATTTGTCTCGATGTTTTATCATCTTGCGTGGTACTGATAGACGTTCTATGATCTTTTGCTTTGATCTCGTGATTGGGTATTGCCCTTATGCTCACTTTTGATGTGTCTGTATAGATATTTCCTATGTTTAAAATTTTCTCCGCAGATAACGCATGCAATGTCTTCATGCTGCGTTTTAATGTGAGTTTTAAGACTATCCTTTCGAGTAAATGTCTTGCCGCACGTATGACATGCGTAAGTTATCTTATTATGCACTGCATCCATGTGGAGTTTGAGACCACTCTTGAATGCGAATTTCTTTCCGCACACTTCGCAAGTAGGTGCCTTACCATTATGCATCGCATCGATGTGCATTTTGAGATGTCCTTTGTATGTGAATGTCTTTTCACATATACCACAATCATGTTTAACACCATTATGCATTGCATCGATGTGTCTTTTGAGATCTCCTTTTTGGGTGAATGTTTTTCGACATGTAACGCACGCATGCTTGACACCATTATGAACTGCGTCGTTGTGGATCTTGAGACTATCTTTTCGTGCAAATTTTTTACCGTATATATTACATGGATGTTTTACACGATTGCGTAATTTATCAGTTTGGGTTTCACGTAGACTTTTTTGAGCAAATGTTTTTTCATTTGCATCCAATGCATCACTGAGTTCACCATCCGAATTCAATTCTTCTTTTATTTCGTCCTCAATTTCTTTTTTAATTTTCTTTTGGGTTTGATTATCGTAACTATTTTCCATATGCTGCAAATGATCTGGATAATCGTCCTCTATCTTCTTGACTACTAATAAGTTAATACCGAACTTCTCGTCCTTACATTCGAATTCTACTTCGACATCGTCAGAACCACGAGTCTAGAAAAATAATTTGAATTCAAGATTAGGGAAAAATGTTGTTGAAAATGTCAGCAGTGCTATATGAAAACTTACAAAATTTTCTCGACATTGCAAGGATTCTTCAGTGTTCGCATCGTGTGCATTGTCAATTATCTGATAATCATCATTTTCAATCGGGGAAACATCATTTGGCTCCTCCTTCACTCTGCAATATTCCCAATAATATAAAGTATTATGCTATTTTTTTTTTAATTTCATTCTCTAGAAAATAAAAATTACCTGATTTCACAGTTATATACACCACTGAAATCCATGTTTATTACTCGGAACTTGATCAACGACTAATTGTTCTGTAGTGATGTTACACATCGAACTAGGTAACTTGATCGTAACAATATTTTTAAATCGTGAAATGAAAGTTTGAGAAAATTTATGTCAACAGAAACACTCTAAACTTACTATTTATTATTGGAGAAATTATACTATAGATCTCCAGCGTAATAAACAAAATTAGCAATTTTCTCTGAATTTTATTACAAAGAAATTATGAATTGAAAAATATGTTTTCATCACAGCGTGCGGGAAAATCTTAAAATCGACTTTCTGCACTCGATGATGAAAAATAATATACGTAACTGAGGCGGTTGTCAATCTTGTACTCGTGTTAATGCACTCGTGCCTTAGTTACGTAATGTTAGGCGCGTGTAGTTAAGTAAAGCGGCATATTTGTTGTAGCGATCTCGATTTTTCATTTCTCATTTATCTATACGTTTTGAATTCGTTTAAATGATTTTCAGATCAATTTCTGCATGGCTTCGATATCAAATTTCGATATCTTTGTGGTAACGTAAGCGATGTACGACATGAAAGCTGTCAAACTATAAAGTTTTTCTGCTTTCAAAGCTCATTCAGTAATTTTGAAACTTAGTTTTCTCTTAGTTTTTTCATTTTCTGCACGCACGATCGTATCTTTTCAAATGGTCAGTAAGCGCGAGAGTGGATCGCATGAAGTTTTTCTTTTACCTGATGTCGCTAGGTGCTCTATATAGTTGTCGACCGATTTTTTGACTTTGATAACGTGGTGAGAAAATTTGATAGCATCACTCAATAAGATTATAGTTTACCTGCTGTGATTTGAGGGTAAAATCTATATTAACACGACGATTTCTTACGTAATTTTGTTTGTAGAATCGAATGCTGCAGTCAGTATTGAAGTAGGAATGTGATTTTACACGAAAAAATTAAATTTTTCGGTCATTGTTTTCTTAAATTTCGGAAAGTCCATTTATAAGTGCCCCGCATATGTCTAGAAAAAATCAGAGAAAATCTTTTTATAGCACTGCGTGGCATAAGTTCACATTTATGGCACACTTTTCGGTGGCATAAGTCGTACATTCTGGCACCGCTGACCTAACCTCACTTCGCGTCACCAGAAAGTGCGACTTATGCATCGGAAAAGGGGGCATAAATTTGAACTTAGCACAGTGCTATAAAATGTTGTACGATACTCGTGACGTAGGGGACTTTTTTCGGCCCAGCTATTAGGACCCTCGCTGCGCTCGGGCCCTAAACTACGTCGTGCCAATAAGTGTTACTTATGGCACTTGTATCGTAAAGTACTATTTAAGTATATTCAGGTACTTTTTCAGCGAGTTACACATTTAGCGATTATACTAAATAATGCTTCGCGGCCGTAGTTCGACTAAAGTCCCAGCGTGGAGTTTCCGACGATTATCGCCGGACAGCCAGCGGTTGAGCCAGGCAAGCGTACCGGCGATTCTCACTTCATACAGGTCCTCCCTAAAACGCGTTTATTTTCTCTCTCCGTGTAGATTCGATGCATTAGACATGTGCAGAGGACATGCTAAGTACCCTATGCCAAAAAAGTGATAAATAATTTTATCTAGTTCGAATTTTAGTTGTTATCATTTTATTTAGTTATTCCATCTATTCATTAAAGGCGTCTCGATTTTCCCATGATAAAAATAACATTATTTGAATCGCGCGCTTTGGGCGGGTGTTACTTTTGAGAGCACTGTACACACTGGGTAAATAATCAATATGAAGCACATGGGAAAAATATGTAAATGATATAAGGGGGGACAGCGGGGTCTTGACTGAATTAAAAAAAACTTTTTTTTTAACATATAGTAAATAGAATTGATCTGTTAATCATATACATAATTAAAAGTTATTTGAAGAAAATTCTGTTAAATTTTTAGCCCAAATACTGAAAAATAAGCTGGCTACAGTAAATTCCCACATGCAACGTAAAAAAAATCCGGTGGACACCATCACTCAAAATCGACTCGACCGA